AAAGGCACGACCGTCATACAACAACTTCAAACATCGGAGAGATCACTCCCGAAGCCGCCAACGCAGATCGTCGACACATCGCAGTCGTCACAATTCGCCATCTCCACTGTGTTACTATCACCGCCGTTTCGGTAGTCAAGCCCGACGGTGTACTACGCCGTGTAGTTATAGTAAAGACCACACGAAGTCGGAAAACTAGACCGAACGTTGGCAGAGGCGGAATCCGGCGTTCACAAATCATACCGCCTGTTCGTTACCGATAAAAAAACGAACTACTCTGTCTTAGTAGACACGGGAGCCAATATCTCCGTACTACCTCGAAAACCAGGCCAGAAATCGATGCCGCTACCTTTCAAATTACATATATGCCGCCAACAACACGATAATATCAACGTATGGAGAACGAACGCTCGAACTCGATATAAATCTACGACGACCGTACAAGGGGAAATTTATAGTTGCCGATGTATCCAAGCCTATATTAGGAGCCGATTTTTTAAACTATCACCAACTCATCGTTGATATCAAGAATCGAAGATTAATGGACGCCGTAACGAATTTACGAGTAAACGTGCCGATTAAATCAACTACTACACCCACAATAAGAAGCATCGACATAAGCGACGCGTACCACGAAATACTCGCTGAATTCCCCGGCATAACACGACTTACCGCAATGAAGCTGGGGACTAAAATCAACGTCGAACATTATATCGAAACTACGGGACCTCCGATCCACTGCCGAGCACGACCTATACCGCCGCATCGTTACGAAACCGTTAAGAAAGAATTTGAGAATATGATGCAACAAGGACTCTGTCGTCCTAGTAAAAGCGCACGGTCATCGCCACTTCATATTGTACCTAAAAAGAATGGGGATATAAGAGTGTGCGGTGACTATCGACGACTTAACGCGATAACGAAACCCGATCGCTACCCAGTACCGAGAGTCAAGGACTTCACACATCATCTCTCAGGTAAATCCATATTTTCAACAGCCGATCTCAACCGCGCCGACCAACAACTTGAGGTCCGCGCTGAAGACATTTAGAAGACAGCAATCATAACACCAATGGGTTTATTCGAATTCCCTCGAATGTGTCCCGGTCTGAAGAATGCCGGACAAACTTTTCAGCGATATATTCACGAAGTGCTCCGCGGACTCGATTACGTATTCCCTTTCATTGATGACGTTTTAATCACTTCAGCTAACGAAACTGAACATCGAGAACACCTCCGAACTGTACTCACACGATTTCAAGAGCACGGCATCACTATAAACCCCGCGAAATGTAATTTCGGAAAACAGCAAGTCAAATTCCTAGGATACATGGTATCAGAACAAGGCATCAAGCCACCCGATGATAAAGTCAAGGCTATCGTCAACTATACGAAACCGAAAACAGTTGAAGAACTACGACGCTTCCTATAGTCCAGTCAAAATAGACAAAAATAAGTCATAACTTAGCCAAAATTCGCATAGAGCTGAAAATTGCCAGAGACGTTAAATACATCATTATAAATGAAATATCAAAAATCCCCTTCGATCCTACTTCTGCAAAAAATTTTATTCAAGGTCAAAAGTATAAAATTAAGGTTTTTTCCATTTTTCTCGAAAACAGTAAGTATTATCGTAAAAATAGGTCGGACAAAAGTTGTAGATCATACAATTCTCTACAAAAATGGTCCAGTCATTTTTTCTCTTACGACTCACCATTCATGAGATATCGCGGTTTTAATCATTAGAAAATTCATATTTTACATAATATGCACTAAAATGCAGCTTGTATACGTCACCGGACGTTCAATATAAATGAAAATAAGAAACTATTCGTTTGTGTTACTTACACAATAAAACTTGTATAAATTAAATGAGGATTTTAAAATATAAGACTATACTGTCAGTCCCTAATTCCCTTCGTCAGTAACCTTGAGTAACATCTGCTAGCTACGTCATTGTTCGAGTGTGGAGGGTCGCATACCTGCTTATTTTTGAAAGAAGTAAATGAAATGACTCAGTATATACTGTTAGTTTTAAAAATTCCTGTGCAGTGAGCAGACGTGCATATTGGTAATATTTTCAATTTTAATTTGTGCTGTTAAATAATTTAAACAAAATGTCAGAAGTTTGTTTCATTTGTGATAAACCTTTGAAAGAAAGTGAAGTTGTTGTTGTTGATCGTGGAATGAAGACTTTGATTGATGCAAGTGTTGAAAGAAATGATGATTTTTTTGAATACTTAAAAGACAAGCAATCTGTGACAGTCCACGTGCAGTGTCGTAAAATGTATACTCGAAAGAGTAGTATTGTTGCAGCTAAAAGACAGCGTGAGACAGAACAAGGTAGTACATCCACGATAAGTCCACCTCATACTAGAGCACGAGTAAGTGAGCCACATTTCAACTTCAAAAAATATTGTTTATTTTGCGGCGATGAAGCAAATGAAGAAGCTGAAAAGAAGAAAGCGCAGAATGTTCGTCGTAAAATTTATAACGTATCTACACTTGAATTTAAAGATTCCATTTTAAAGGTAGCTCGGACTCGTTCTGATGACGCAACAAAAGCTGTTATTGCCCGTATTGAGTATGAATTTGACTTAGTTGCTGCTGAAGCTAAGTACCACAATAACTGTTATAATATCTTTCTGAGGCCTACTACGGGATATAAAGTCGGTCGTCCCGAAGATGATTCAGTAAACTTGGCGATGGAGGAAATATTTCAGTACATTGAAAATAATGATGATTGCCAATTTTCATTACAAGAATTAAAAGATATCGGCAAAAATCCAACTATAGATAATAAAACAATTAAAAGAAGATTAAAGTTAAAGTATGGTGATAAAATTATTATGACTGAGAAGAAAGGAAGTTTAACAATTATCTGTTTTATTGATAATCAGTACGATATTCTTAATAAAGCTTGGTATGAAAATAAAAAACAAAGTACAAATCTATTCCACTTTAATCATTAGCAATATTACTATTCTTTCAATTAATAGGATACGATCTGATCAAACTTTCTTTATTACAATAGATCGTGGAGCATACCTACTGGGGAAACCACGTTAAAAAAAATGCGCCAAGTACATTACCTCATAGGTGGTGCGGAAATGTGTGCTATTATGTAAAATATGAATTTTCTAATGATTAAAACCGCGATATCTCATGAATGGTGAGTCGTAAGAGAAAAAATGACTGGACCATTTTTGTAGAGAATTGTATGATCTACAACTTTTGTCCGACCTATTTTTACGATAATACATACTTACTGTTTTCGAAAAAAATGGAAAAAACCTTAATTTTATACTTTTGACCTTGAATAATTTTTTTTGCAGAAGTAGGATCGAAGGGGATTTTTGATATTTCATTTATAATGATGTATTTGACGTCTCTGGCAATTTTCATCTCTATGCGAATTTTGGCTAAGTCAAATGTCTATTTTGACTGGACTACTAGGAATGTTAAACTTCTATAGAGATCACATTCCAAACGCCGCCACTATACAAGCTCCGCTATATTCATATTTACACAACGTTAAGAAGCGCAATAAAACTATAATTGAGTGGACCCACGAAGCAACGCAAGCATTCGAAGCATGTAAAGTTAGCATCAGTAACGCGACTTTACTCGCTCACCCGTCTCACGAAGCAACACTCGCAATATTCAGTGACGCCTCAGACAACGCCGCCGGAGCCGTACTACAACAGTACATACATAATACATGGCAGCCCCTCGGTTATTTCTCAAAGAAATTCTCAGACGCTCAGAAAAAATACTCAACATACGATCGTGAATTACTTGCTATATATATGGCAGTAAAACACTTTAGAAAAATATTCGAAGGCAGACCACTCATAATATTCACCGACCACAAGCCACTCACGTTTGCTATGAACAAAACATCAACAAACAACGAGACGCCGCGACGAACAAGACAATTATTATTCATTAGTGAATTTACAACCGACATACGTCACGTAAGTGGGAAACAAAACATCGTCGCCGACGCTTTAAGTCGTGTCGAAACTATATCCTGCCCGTCTACAATAAATTATGAAGAAATAGCCTCAGCACAACGAAGTGACAACAACATTCAACATTTACTTCAACAAACCAACCTATCATTCAAAAGGGTAAATATTCCTAATACAGATACAGAATTACTTTGTGAAACATCAACATCATTCATACGACCTTACATACCTACCGATCATCGTAAAGAAGTTTTTAACAACATACATAATATCAGTCATCCCGGAACGCGAACAACAAGAAAACTAATAACAAGAAAATACTTTTGGCCGTCCATGAATAAAGACATCGCAACGTGGACTAAGAATTGCATTGAATGTCAGAAGAGCAAAATACAACGTCACACACACAGCAAAATAAATTCGTTCCCGCCAACCGACCGCTTTCAACATGTGCACGTAGATATCGTCGGACCGTTACCTATGTACAACAGCGCAAGGCTACCGATATTTAATAACCATGATCGATCGACATACGAAATGGCCCGAAGCGATACCTACCATCGATATATCCGCCGAAACAGTCGCAGAATGCATATACAACAACTGGATAAGTCGATTCGGGTGCCCCGCTACTATAACAAGCGATCAAGGCCGACAGTTTGAAAGTCAAATATTTAAAAACTTAATGAAAATACTCGGAATAAAAAGCGATACAACGCGTAAAGACTTAATATATGTGACCCTCAAGGAGCTCGCAAATATCGGTTAAAATCTGAAAAATATTTTAGAACTTCACTTACGCCCAAAACATATGACATGAATTAGATAAAAAGTACAGGAGTTAATGGCACAGAGTAAGTGGGCAAGTGCTACTAGACATTTGGACCAACGCGTGTAAAACATGTTTACTTCTAAGCTTCACAGCTCATTTCATCGCTAATGATAAACGTCTTAAAGTGATTTTAGGTGCATGTGTTCTAGAACAAGACCACACCAGTCAATATATCGAAGATAAAATTTACAAGTATGGTAAACGAATGGGGTTTGCAAAGCAAGATTTTTCTAGTTCTACGTGATAATGCCGCTAATATGATTCGCGCGATGCGTGATCAATATGAATCTGTAGGATGCGTCGCACATACTCTCCAGCTCGTTATAAAACAAGCGCTATTTTCAGAAAACGAAATAAAAGACCTCGTAAAGAAATGTAGGAAAATCGTTGGCCATTTCCATCACAGTGAGCCAGCAACCAGGAAATTGAAAGACTGTCAAAAACAATGTGGATTGCCAGAGCATGCATTGGTGCAAGACATTGATGTGAGGTGGAACAGCACCTTGATGCTGCAACGACTTTTGGAACAAAAAAATGCAGTAAACTTATACTCTGTTGAACACGGTAAGATTGATTCTCTTCAATCAAATGAATGGGTCATTGCAAAGAACCTCACATCCGTATTGTCATTTTTTTAATGAAGCCACCCTTAAGTTATCATTTGATAATGCATGCATTTCGATTGTCATACCTTTGATGTCGTTTTTAAACCGGAAATTGCAAGTTCGCTGTGAAAGTGACAACGAAATGATGACCAACATGAAAAATTCACTATACGAGTCCATGAACAGTAGATATTCATCAGTGAAAAAACTCCCTTCGTTGATGGTAGCGACAATATTGGACCCAAGGTTTAAGTCTATGTACCTCAATTCCAATGAAGTAGACATTGTTGTTACAGAGCTAATATCTTTCTTGACCGAGTCTGAAGGCAACAAAAAATCATCCCGCAACACTGATAATGATAACGCCAATGTTTCTGTGGCTTCAACTTCAACATGCGTCCCGCAAGCTCACAGCATACAGCAAGAAAAAGAAAGTCTTTGGGATGTGCACGATAATACGTCTAGTCAAACAGAGACCACAGAATCTGAAGGCACAAACCACTTTCTAAAAGAAAAGATTCAGTCTTACCTATCGGAGCCACTATTACAACGTAATGCTGACATATATAGTTATTGGAACTGCAGTCCATATCCTATATTGAGAAGTGCTGTTTTAAAATATCTTTCAGCTACACCTACCAGCGTCCGGAGCGAGCAGTTATTCAGTGCAGTTGGCCAAATATACTCGGATCGTGACAATAATTTAAATGGCGAAAATGTAGAAAAACTGCTTTTCATGGCGTACAATATTTAATAATTTTGGAAAGAGCGCAGAGGTCTCTCATAAAAGTAATGTTTTTCAAACCGTACCTTTTTCCAACTTTTGATTTACACAATCAGTACAAATTACTGACTATTCGTCAAATATATATAAATATATTAAATGGTATACTTAAAATTCATCATCATTTACCTGTTGTTCCCTCTCTAATCCAAAATCGTAGGCGTAAATCTGTTGGTCCTATCCCAACTAGTAAAACCAAATTTAAGAAAATACAATACAATTATCAATCGTCCTATCTTTATAATAAGTAATCCTCCTATCTTTATAAACCGTAGACTTGACTTCTACAGACTGACAAAAACCAAAGTAAAGCGTGTTTTCACTGAAACATTACCCACGTATAATTATGATGAAACTGAAAAATTGATAATTAATCTAAACCTTTCACAATTATAATAAAATTAATAGATGTTTAAACGCACGCACGCGCGCACACACACAGACACACACACGAGCACATACAAACACAAACGCACACACACGTCTTGGTGGATGAGCGGGGCACCCAGTAATACGGGTTTGCACCTAGTACAGGGGCCCTTGCAACTTGATTGTTATGTAATCCTTGAGTCAATAAAGTTTATTATTATTATTATTATTTTTAATATAAGACTTTTCAATTATGAGAATTAATAATACGAAAATCCAAAAAACAACCCTATATTTAGAAGTTTTTATATTTAATTTTTTAATTGTTTTCAATTTAACTGCTTACTATAGTTTAATAGTGAGTTACTTAATTTTAAATATACCTAAGTATAACTGTCCTGTTAATTGTGATCTAGCTAGGTATCTTAGTTATCTTTAAATATGTGATTTTTGATTATTTCTTTGTTGAGACTGAAACTGAGTGTAAAACTAATTTTAGTAATTATTATTTTTAGGCCTATAAGGGGTACCTAAAAAGACTGATGATTATTCTAAGTACAATCCAAAGTATTAAATAGAAAGATCTCAAAACATAGTATTAAGTGAATCAGTAACAATTACTTATTTGATTATATTGTCAACTGAAAAACATTTTGCTATGAGAACTTAATTTAAAAAAGTATTAAAAATGTTATTAAGATTTTTAATATTGTATTAAATAAATGATTACAATACAACAAACTGAATTAATATACTGTGTTTCCACTTTATGCCCTGATTAATGCAAAATAATGGTAAAAAACACAAAATTTCAGTATTTTAAGACATTTTATACTTGACTATGTGAGTTTCGGTTTCGGCCGAAACTGAAGCCACGGCCGAACATTCGGTTTCGGTCGGACACTATTATGATTATTATAGAAAAAATAAATCTTCTATATATATAAAAATGGATTGCTGTTCCTTAGTCTCGCTAAAACTCGGGAACGGCTGAACCGATTTGTCTAATTTTAGTCTTGAAATACTCCTGGAAGTCCAGGGAAGGTGTAAAAGGTGAGAAAAATTGGAATAATTGCCGGGAAAACCTTAAGAACAGCCCTTATCTATTTCCCATACAAACGTTTTTTTGACATTAGACTTGACAACTAACTAATATGTCAATCATTCTGTTCGATTGAAACAGTAGAAATTTAATAAATACCAATACCGGGTTATTGAAGACGGAATAGAGTTTGCCCGGTCAGCTATACCTATATTACTAATGACGAAATTAACGCGGACGAAGTCGCGGGCAAAAACTAGTAATTAATAAAAATTTAAAAAAAAACTATACAAATTCTTATTCACTTGACATTGCGTTTTCAACATTTGCTACCAGTACAAAAGGTGAAGTGAGGAAGGTGCGGGGCGGAGTAAAAGCAGTATAAACCGGTTCAAAACTAGAAAAGAACGTGGCATTCAAAAATTTGACATCACTACTACACTATCCGTGTACACTCACACAAATGCAAAGCCCAGCTTAAACGCAGTATAAATACATTTAAGTATAAAAAAATATATGTATACAATAAGAATTTATAGGTATATGCATGATAGGTTTTTTTAAGTACCTTTTCACTATCTTAGTCTTATAAATAAACGTTAGAAACCCACGCCGTTAGCAAATATATAAATATGTAATTAATTATTTTCTTCACTAAACTGTTTACAGTTTAAGATACTCATCCTAAGTACAGCATTTTATACAAAATATTCAAATACATTTATATGTGTAAATTTACATTGGATTGAAGACATTGAAAATGCACACAAGTGCCCACATGAAACAAGTGTGTTAAAATATTTACAAGTGTATTTAACAGATATAAAACAATTCAGTGTAGTATCTTTATAATAAAAGAATTAACTTCTCCTGCGTATATAAAATATATCTACTAGATGATCCTGCGAACTTCGTATCGCCCTATAATCAAGAAATATCTGTTGCGTTTTACCTGAATGAAGTTAATATATTTATTCCTCTGAACGGAGTTTTGCCTGGTTCAACCTGATAAACCTTAATCACTCGGTTTCTACTTTTACATACATATCAACATATTGGTGAAAGAGACGCCAACATTTTAAGATGTGATTGATCTCAACTTCTCCAACCATAAGCCTGTATGAATTATAATTTATTGAACTAACTTTTTTGTTAGTTTCAGAACCTGAAAACATTTTTTTTTAAATTATATAAATTATTTAAAGCTATGTTAAACATTAAAAACTTAAAATGTTTAATTACCTGTAACTGGATTTATCATCTTCATTAAGAAATGATATCCATCTTCACCTTGCCAAAGTAAGACAGGATATTATAAAGCATCATATGTTCAATGTTTTTCGGACACATGCTGCAGTTGACTGTTACTCAGGTGTAAAACAATATTGTGGATATCTATATTTTCACCCACAATGACAATAGCGACTTCATCGATTGTCAGGGCATTAAAGTGTCTTATGCGTGGCCCTGAAGGTGTCTTGTCGGCTTGACAACAATTTTGTGGTTATCAGATGGCATGTGATCTAATGTGGTCTCGAATAATGCAACCAAAGCATTGTGTTAATGGAAAAACAATATGTGCTGTTCTACAACTGCTCTTTTCACAGAATAGTAATTATTCACTGACCAGCACTGGTCATAAGGAACCTGTTCAATGATATATTTGTCCTTGAATCTGAAAAGGTAAACATTTTTGTATTACATATACATATTGTAAAGTGATTTGATCAAACCACCAAGTGATACTCAAAATACTTTGTGAGCACTACCATTTCCCTCAACAACTTTTTTAACACAATTCCTTCTGGCTACTAAAAGTAATTAACAGAGTTCAAATGTACTTTAAGCCATTTCAAATGATACACCATTACATTTGAAAACTGTCAACAATAGTGGTAAATGTTTTTCAATACACTTACCTAAAGAGATGGCATAAAATTTATTCTACTGAAGTACATTTCTTTGTTATAATTAAATACAGCTCTATAGCGGTTAAAGGCAACCCTTCTATCGTTGGTTCCGGGTCCATCGATTCCGTTCAATTTCATTCCGCGTTTCACGTTGGTCATCAGTTAGACTTGCTCTTGTATATATTTGACTTGAGGCATTACAGGTTCTGCGACTTAAGTTAGTACGTGTAATTGCCGGCATTTTTGAACCAAAAATTCAACTGAAAATAAAAGGTATTTTTTTTTTATTCTATTCCTATTCTTTTGTAATAGTATCAAAATGGTCTATCAAAACTTTCTAACACTATAATAATTTGACTTACCTGGTTGAAAAAACACTGCAGAAAAAAACACACAGTACAAATTATCCCGTAGAAAGCAATGTGAAAAATACACTAAGAAATGGTATATGAATTATGTAAGTATTTTGTTATTATAACTCCGGCCTCAAATAGTAAAACTGAATATGTACTCGCACAAAACCACACAAAACAAACAAATTTACTCTTTGCAAACAATTTAAAAGAATAACAGAATTCTTAAGACAGAGACAATAGTCTATCATAGACTAATATAGTCACATAAATGCCAAGCTCAGCTTATGTATCGCACACTATAATAAATATTTAAAAAGAAATAAACAACATAAAGAGACATCAACGTTTTCGTTAATGTAAAAATTATATTTTATAAATTGTGTTACAGAATATAATCTTTAATTAACACAACATTAATTAATAAACGTTAATCATTTGTCATTATTTCTGCACTTATGTCAACCATTACGTCTTATAGTATTTGACAGAATGGACAACAAATGTTTGGCAAATGACAGATACAACTCGGTTCGAACGATCCTGGGAACCCGGGTTCGATCCTTTACAATATGTTTTCGTCGAGTTTTCTCTAAGTTTTCTTTTTTAAGATTTATTCTGCTATTCGGGGAGGAGAGAAATTCAAAGAACCAAAAACCATGAAAATTGGTCTAGCCGATCTCAAGTTGTGTTGTAACAAACACAACTTTCTTTTATATATATATGTACTAGTAAACCTGGCGAACTCCGTTTCGCCACCAGAAGGCTTTTATATAACATTTCGTTTGGTGATTAAAAGATATGTAGAATTTTTTGTTTTATATTTGAAAAGGAAAATTTTTATTTCATTTCACAACAGTAATGAATTCATTTCGATTACAAAAATGAAATGTTATTTAGTTGAACTACTCTAAGTAAATGAAAGTGAATCCAAAGTAGATACCGAATCGAAGCGTTATACGTGTCCGCAAATTATCCGTTTCATTGAAGTGCTCCTTTGTAAACCACATTTTTTGTTTTTTGGTCTAACTTTAACACAAATAAAGCGTATGGTTTCCAAACTCGTGAACATACAAAATGTAACTGCCCAAGTGAAAAACAATGATTTGCTAAATTTATCCCGCAAATACTAAATGGTTTTAAGAGTTCAAACTACAAACACGTTACCTAAATATTTTTATTTTTATATAGTAGATTTCTTACAAATATGTAATTGTCATCCATACGTCATTACATATCTGTCATTATACGTCAATTGCATAGCTGTCAATTGTGTTATTCCACGTTTTATAATGA